AATATTATATATATAATAACTATTATATGTTAAAGATAATTGTTTATATATCAACTTTTGTATTTCCTTTTCCATTGTTATTATATATTTCTTCACTTTGTAAAAATCTTATTTGTGTAAAAGTTAAATATGTCTTAAGAAAGTCTTTGAAAGGTTCATCAAAATGTGACAAATTTTTAAGGTGAGTGCAATTTTATGCTTCGGTAACTATTTTCTAGAATTGAAAACTTACGGCGAGGCGTCCAAGTATCATCTCTGGCTCGGTCTAGTCCTGATCCTGCTGATCCTGGTTACCGGCATGTTCAGTTACTATCAGGATTCCAAGAGCTCGCGCATCATGGACTCGTTTCTGCAAATGCTACCACAATGGGCCAAGGTCCTGTGGGATGGCGAGAGAAAGGAGTTGCCGGTGATCGAGCTGGTGGTCGGGGACATCGTCCTGTTGGAGACCGGTGACCGGGTGCCCGCTGATATTAGAATCCTGGAATGTCAAGGTAAAGTGAGATGCGTTCTATCACAGAACAGCGCATGAAACATTCTTATTTTCTTACAGAACGAAACAAGAGCCTTTCTCCTCGCTCGCGTCGATTTCTCGTTTCGTTCAATCTTTTATCATATGAAGATAGAGAAGAGAATTATTCGGAAAAACATATAAACGCGAAATTATATATTATTGGAAAAATGTTTCAATTTTTTAAAAATTAATATTCTAATTCCTTCAGGAAGAATTATAAGGTAAACAAGCCCGATCGATTGCGCAAAAAATTGAAATTTAAAAAATATATTATAATAATTGTATATACTTTTAATATAACAAAAATAGCTCTTTAAATTTTAAGTGTGATTTAATAGATTCTATTAATTTTTCATTTTCAATTTATTTCAACAGATTTTATTAAATCACACTTTTTCGATTCGCTTTAATAAATCTTATTTTCAGTTAGATTTTTATAATATAATTAATCCTGATAAATCCTATAGAATTAAGATATAAATTTTTTATATATATTTGGATATTAATATTTTTCTCTGAGACTTAAATAGATCTTTAGATATTGGAGATTCTCTTCAATTCGACAGACAAGTTCTAAGCGAACGTGCACTTCTTTCGCGGGGCAAACATCTCGTGTTTGTTTCAAAGGTGCTTCCGAACCAGTCCTCGAGCGTTGCTCGACGGTAGCGTTCGGTAGCGAAACTAAGACTTTAAATGAGGAGACGAGAATAGCATATACGAAATCCTGTTATACCCTGGCGAACAACGGGGAACGCGTTCTCGGTTTCGCCGATTTCGAACTCTCGACCACAGCCTTTCCCATGGATTATTATTTTGAGGCCCATCCTCCGAATTTTCCGCTTGAAAACTTGAGACTGGTATCTCAATTTGCATATATTTTTAACTGATTTATTAAGCGTGGACTTTAAATTTTTTTTATTTGGGTTAATATAAAATTCAAGCATTTAAAAAGTCTTTGAATAATAAAATTTTATTTTTGCAACAAGAAATATTTAAAGCCGGAAGACAGGATATTTACAAATCTTTGAAATTAGACTTTTTTATATGAATATTAATATCTAAAAATTTTAAATCTAATTTTTGAAAAATAAACTCTAATAATATTAATTTAATTTATAATAATTTTCTCAATTAACAGAATGTATTTCATTCTTCTCGTCGAAAGATCGGTCTGATCACCATGATGGATCCATCTGTTCCTGACGCCATGTACAAGTGTCGTTGTGCCGGCATCAAGGTCATGATGGTGACCAGCGATCATCCCGACACCGTCAAGGCGATCTCCAAATACGTCAGCATCATCACAGAGCACGATGACAATGATATCCCTAATAACGATTCCAAAAAACGCCACATCGTGGTAACGGGTTCCCAGTTACGAGATCTATTACCGGAGCAACTGGATCAGCTGATCAGACGGTATTAGAAAATCGTGTTCGCCAGAACGTCGCCAGTGCAGAAGCTGCAGATTATCGAGAGCTGTCAACGGTTGCATCTGATCACAGCGGTCACCGTCGACTTCCCGGCTTTAAAGAAGGCCGACATCGGCATCGCCATGGGCCTCATAGGTTTTAATTTATATTTTATTTTATTTATATTTATAATTATTTAAAAAATATATGGATGCATAAAAGGTACAATTAAATATCTCTATTATTTTTAAAATACAAAGATTTATCATCAAAAACTTATCAAGTTCGAGTAAAGATAATCATGCGTTTAATTCAAGTTAACGATCGCACCGTTACGATGATCTAACTTTAATTGTGATTGTTAGGATCCGATGTGAGCAGACAGGTGGCGGATTTGATATTATTGGACGATAATTTCGTATCGATGGTGACGGATATCGAAGAGGGCCGATGGGTCTTTGACAATCTGAAATCGAGCATCGCGTACACATTAGCGAGCAACGTGCCGGAAATAACGCCTTTTGTGGCGTTTATCATCTTCGGAATTCCCCTGCCAGTCGGCGTGATTTGTATTTTATGCATCGATCTAGGAACGAATATGTGGCCTGCAATCTCCTTGGCTTACGAGAAGTCCGAGTCAGATATTATGTTGAGGTATTAAATCATATATCAAACGTAAAAATAAAATTTATTTCGATATTAAAGAATTAGCCGTATATTTTTAAATTATAAGTATTTAAAACTTTTCAAAGCCCTTTGAAAAATTCTATTTTCTTCATCTAATTCAGAATAAACTAATCGAGATTTAATTCGAAATCTAATTATAAATATATCTCTGAAATTAAATATCAAACAAAATATTTAATTATCTTACATATTTAATTTTATCTTCTCTCTCTCTTCTCTAAAATTAATTTCTCAGGAAGCCTAGGATACCTCAAAGAGATCATCTAGTCAGCCGACGTCTGATCTTCATGGCATACGGCCAGATCGGCATGATCGAGGCGTGCGCGGGTTTCTTCACTTACTTCGTGGTAATGGCGGAACACGGTTTTCTACTTACACGACTGCTGGGCTTGAAACCGCAATGAGACAGTCCGGCGGTGAACGACCTGGAGGACAATTTCGGCCAGGAGTGGACCTACGAGCAGCGAAAGATTCTCGTATACACCGCCTTCTTCGTCAGCATCGTGATCGTCCAATGGACGGATGTGATGGTCTGCAAGACTCGTTGCAATTCACTGTTGCATCAAGGCATGGACAACTGGACTCTCAATCTGGGTCTGCTCCTCGAGATCGATTTGGCCTACCTGGTGTGCTATGTGCCCTACATGAACCGCATCCTGAAGACGTATCCCTTGAAACCGGAGTGGTGGCTACCCGGAATATCATATGCTATCATCATTCTGATTTACGAGGAGTTGAGGAAGTGGTGGGTCAGGAGACATCCGGACGGCTGGTGGGATAGAGAAACCTCGTACTAGATAATGAAGAGAAATGCCTTATAAAAACAAAGAGATTGAAAAGAATAAAGCACAACGATTAATTTAATCTTTTTAAAAAGTCGAGAATATTAATCTGCAACCTTGGATAATTAAATTAAAGAGATTAATGGAGTTGCTTTTTAGTATATGTTGTTCTTTTTTAATTTTTTATTTAGAAAATCTTTTATGTGTAAATTTAATAATATTTTTTAATCTTGAAGAATTAGCATAATGATAATACGATATAATATATTGGGTATAATATTTGTGCTTTCACAGATTGTTTTCAAATAAATAGTATATATGAAATAAGATCTATTTATGTTGTTGAAAGAGAGAGATGTTGCAATACTATATTTATTCTCTGACATGATGCATCAAACAAAAAAAAAATAGTTTCGTAAATGGCAACCTTTCGCGACTCTATATTTTCCATAGTCGTGACCACTCGAGATCACGATGAAAGCAACTCTTCACCTTTCTAAATAAATTACTGCAAACATAAAGTCGAACATTAAACGCAATTAAGTGAATTGCATTATTAAATAACTAGATACTAAAGATATATAATAAGAACATATTTTTGAATAGTTTTTTTCATTATCTGAAGAATAATTTAAAAAAATGAAAAAATTATTTAAAATAAATTTAATTATAAGAGAAATAATATAATTATAAAAATAGTTTAAAAATGAAAAAATAAATTTTTTAATATTTAATATATTTTTTATATATTTATCTATTTATTTTAAACGCCCAATAAGTTTAACGATAAAAATATGAATTGATGAGCATATTGCGACTTTAATTGTTAATAATTAAAATTGTTGTTTAAGTAAATTTAAGAAAGAATAAAAACTTCTTGAATAAATCTTAGTTTGTGAAGAAATGATTAAAAAATCACCATTATCATTAATTGAATAGTATTATTATTTGTTCATCTCAAAATTGCTGTACGATAGGTAACGATACGAATACGAAAACTGAAAGGAACAAGAGAAGAAACTGGAATTTCACGTCGTTTTTTCGAGAGACATTGGCATCCTAAAAATATCTCAAATAAATGCTAAGGTTGTCTTGATTTTTACGAAACTGTACTGTTTTCATCGCGTATTCTCCGTGTGCGATGTTATTTACATTTTACTTTGAATTTGTATTGTACTCAAATTTTAATTTAATTTTATTTCATTTTTCGATTTTTAATTTAGATGTAATAAAATTTTTAATTCAATTTTTTGCTACATACCTATAATGTCCAAATAATTACATATATAAGATATATATACATATATAATTAAAAATGTAATATAGAAATATATATTATATTGATTATACATTGAAATTACCGATAAAAATTTTATCGACATTATTTTCATCAAAATTTCGCGAAATTTTTTATGAAAACACATTGTTAATGTATGATATATGTCACAAAAGTCATTGTATATATGAATATTTATTTTGAGATGGCTATCGGTTAAACTTGATATCAGTAAAAATATAATCAACGAAATACTGGCAATGCTTTCGTATAAAAATACTTGCCAGTTTAACGTACTAGCAAATACATATGTATATGTGTACGTATAAAAGATTGGCGGTTTTCCATAGAACTCTACGTAGTCACCAAGTGTTGTAACCTCGTGGAGGATAAAGTGGGGGCCGCATATAAGGCCCCGACGGACGTCCAACAGGGCCCAGTAGTCTCTAGTCATCAATTCAATCGCGTTACCACTGGATCATCACACAAAGTGACGTCATCCTTTCTCTCTCTGTCTCTCAATCAACATCATCCTTCGTCAGGATGAAGACGGAGGTCCTTTTTCTTTTGATTTGTCTCGGTGAGCTCTTATCACGATTTAAATATCGGCTTTAAGTGAAATCATACTAATATTGTTCTTATGAAATCCGAAACAAAACTAGATTTTTTGGTAATTGTTTGGATTTTTTTTCTCGTTGCAATAGCGTACATTTACTAATTTTAATTAAAATTTGCAATCAAAGAAAAGAAATTTGTTACTATGTGCCATATGTATGACATATATTGATAAATTGATAAAAGTCATTAAATCATTCTACATGTATATTTATTTATACACCTGATAAATATAAATTTTAAACTAAAATAAAAAATAAAGCACAGTTGACAGAAAAAACAATAATATTTATATGTGTGTGATATATATAAAAAATATATTATCATATTATAGATTATAATAAGATAAAAAAAAAACAATACTTTCTATTTATATCTTATATTATTTTTATACTTATATTTCTTATTTTTTATTTGATTTACTTAGGTATATTTTATATTATTGATAAAATAACTTTCAAACTGCAAAAATTTTTTATCAAGTTTTTAATTTAAAATAAAAGAGTATGAAGGGCAAGAAATTTTCGAGGGCAGATGCGTCTGTGCAGGATCGTTCACTGGCTACTATTATTACCTGGTTAAGAATGTTTGTCAAGTCAGAATCTATCGGTGCTGCGTTCGAAAGTTATCAAGCTAAACGATTGAGCGACATTTAAGTTCTGGGCGAGCGACAGATCGAGTGTACATATGGAAGTCCAACAACTTTCTCGCTTTCTTCGCTCGTGCTAGCGAGGTCGACCGGCGTTTCTTCAGGGACGCAGACGATGTGCCGCCTTGAAAACGCGCCAAGAGACCAGTCGACCCTCCGCCTTAACATTCACATTCTTTTTCTCTCTCAATTCCCCTTTATTTTTCCTTTGCTGAATAACTCGTGATACAAAGTAGCCAACGAATTTGAAAAGTTCAAGGGACATATAAAAATTCGGAACAATAATAATCCAATTCTCTATACAAATTTATTTTGACAAAAATCAGAGATTCAAGTTTAATATGATTTTCTTTTGCTAATTATATATATATATATATATATATATATATATATATATATATATATATATTTTTATATAGAATAGAAAAAAAACATTGCGCAATTGCAACATTTGAAATTATTTTCATTTTTCTACTTTTTTGTTTTATAGATGTCGAGGACATAATTAAAGAAATATGAGACAATGCTAACGGAGATAAAGAATTCAATGCGTTATCGAGATATACTAAAGAAAAGTAAATTTTTTTTGATTGTTTAAAACATCTTACNNNTATATATATATATATATATTGTACTATTAGTTTTTAAAAGAAAGAAATAAATATTTTTCTCTTTCCAAAAGTTTTTTGTTTACCTCAATCGCAATAAAAATAGTACATTTCATAAATATTACAATCATGCAAATTATATGCATTATATTTTAATTTTTAGGCATACTAATATAAGATAATATTAAAAAATAATTTTGAATAATTCTTAACATTACTTTTCATTGTTCTGTGATATTTTTTATATTATATAATTTTTATTCACTACCTTACTATTTTTCCTACCAGGAGCTGTTACCGCTTTAACAAGGAAACAAGAAGCCGCTGAACAGAATCGCCGAAGGGCCGCTTTGGCGACGACGGCGAAGAAGCAGCAGCCGACCGCAGAGGAGGAATACGAGGACGATGAGGACCTCCTGGATCAGTGTCCTGAACCCAATGGTTATTTTCCTGACGCGGAACAATGCGACAAGTATTACGACTGCCGAGACAACAAAATAACGGAAAAACTCTGCCCCGACGGTCTCGTCTTCAATGACTTCAGCCCGCAACACGAGAAGTGCGACCTGCCGTTCGGTATCGATTGCACGAAGAGACCTAAACTACGTAAGCAAACCATAATTATATTTAAAAAAAATATTATGTCTACTGGATAATTTCTACTTCGTTTTTATATATATTTATCCATCTCACAGAAAAGCCACAACCGTCTGTGCACTGTCCTCGCATGCACGGCTACTTCGCTCACGAGGACGCCAGGAACTGCAACACCTTCTACTACTGCGTGGAGGGCAAGTACAACATGATCACTTGTCCGGACGGTCTCGTCTTTTCCGAGAAGACCGGTATTTGCAACTGGCCGGACGAGGCGCAGAAGAAGGGTTGCGGTTCTCGCGAGCTCTTCAACTTCACCTGCCCGAAGGTCGACGATAGCGTGGCCGCGACGCACCCGCGCTATCCCGACACCGAGGACTGCCAGTATTTTTACGTCTGCGTCAACGGTGAAATACCGAGGCGAAGCGGATGCAAGCTCGGCCAGGCTTTCGACGAGCGCACTGGAAAATGCGATTGGGCCAGGAAGATACCCGAATGGTATACGAATTATATATTCCACCAGAATTTAACTTTATTGTAAGAATATATGTAATGAAAAAAAGTTGATGATCCTAAACTCTGTGTGATACAATTTAAAATTGTACCATCAAAATATAAGCATGTCCTTTCTCTGTAAAAAAAAGAAACAAGATTTTTTTCTCTATTAAACTCTTCACAAAAGTCAATTAATTCAATTAATAAATACACATATTTCATATATTCTTTAATTTGCTTGTTGTTATTAATCATATATTTCTTGTTTTTCTTATCGCTAAAAATAAACGTATAATTCAATTACAGCAAAGACTGGTACAAAGATCAGCTGACTGACGAACAACTGGACGCCTTGGAAAATCCACCGCCGAAACCTAAACCCACTGGTGGAGCAAGCAGAAGAAAAGGCAGCAGGCCAACCCACCAGTAGAATATTATATTCTTAGATTATTTGTATAGATCTTTAAGTCCCTTTATTATGAAAAAACGCCCTATTGTATAATAAACTTATCTTTTTACTATAAATTAGCTTTTTTCAAAATATATATTTAATCCTAAATCCTAAATCTCTGAAATAATTCGTTTAAAAAGAAAATCATGATCTTTGTACTACAAATATTTTAAGATATATCAATTTTAATTACAAAAGAAATTTAAATTCTTATCAAATTCCTTTTCAAAATTCTTATTGGAATCAATGACAATTAATTATATTTTTATGTGTCTATAATTATTATATTCATAATATTTATCTCTAGAAATTTGCTTTTTCAATTTC